AACTTGCCACATGGTTTACGAGTGCGCCTGTTGCACATCGCGGAAGCCATCGCAATCCATGTTCATAAACCTGACCTTTGCATTCAAAAGAGATTCGTACAACCACTTTCTCTGCCCTGGCCATCAGTTTAAGATTTCCTTCAAAAGAACTATTTTTCATACTTCTTCCATTTTTTTTTAACTTTTGTAATTTTATTTCTGTTGCTTTTGTACTTAATAACTTCTCAACATTCATCTTTTGATTCTTACGTAACTACCATCCTATTGACCATCCGTTAAAATTCTTTTCCTTCTTTGTTTCTTACATTACGCAACTTAGCAACTTCTTGATTACTTTGAATATTAATAATCCTCTTTCTTCCAATTACTGAATGTTAATTTAAATGTCATTATGTAATTATTGCGTAACATATCTACTCCATGAGTATTATATTATTATTGTAAAACGTATATATATTAGTGTAGAGCCATGATGAAAAACTAATTAAAAAGAAATTTCTTCGCTCAATTCGTTCCTTCTTTACATCCACCATTGACATCAGTGAGTTACTATCTCACAACAGACTTGGTTGAACTTCACTGGTCACTGCTTCTTACTAGAACTCCAGGTCCTGGGTTGGAATCTTGCGGAGCGGGATCGTAAATGCTCACTTTTGAGGAGTTCGATACTATGACGAAACGGTCGTCTTGTGCCTCCAAGTTTTCTATGATGGTCTTACTTACTTACTTATTTGCTATGGTCGTCAGAAGGAGTATCGGCCTCGTGACTTCCTAAGGAACTCAGCTTTCATCATGAGGCGTCATAACCCTTCTAAATGAAAACCTTCTGGCTCCCAGGGTGGGGTTTGAATAATTTTTTCTGGTTAGTGTTTTTAGCGAGTTAGTTTTCTACGGGATGGGGTGGCTAAGCCCATCCCTCCTCCTTTATCCGTGCTTTAGACCGGCAGTAACTCCCGGAGGGACTCCAGTCGGAGTCGCAACTATTAAAATTACTATAATATCCACAAAACCCCTTCTATATATATATGTCAAGTATTTAATTACACTATACTAAGACAGTTAACCCAACTTTATTTTAATTAATCCTTCTATTATCATATAGAACTATGAACCTGTAACTTATTGTTCCTTTCTATCTTTACTTTATCTCTATTTAATAATAAGAATAATTGACATGTTAATTTGAAAAAAAATAATTATCATTAAGTTAGTGAATAAAAAGTAATTTACTTTTCAATATTTAACCTAAACGTTTTATTTAATTATTATCATTATCAAGTTTGTTTATTGTATTTAAGGGAGTTGTTCAAAAATTTGATATCAGGCAAAAGTAAAAGTAAAAATAAAATCAATTTTATTGATATGACCTATTCACCGAATGGTGATTGATATCATGTTTGTTTACTTCATTCGAATTTTGTCAAACAAGTTATTACTATCAATATTAATAGTAGTAGTGGTAGTAGTAGTAGTGATGGAGGTAGTAGTAGTAGTGGTAGTAGTAGTAGTGATGGAGGTAGTAGTAGTAGTAGTGGGAGTAGTAGTAGTAGTAGTAGTAGTAGTAGTAGTAGTAGTAGTAGTAGTAGTAGTAGTAGTAGTAGTAGTAGTAGTAGTAGTAGTAGTAGTAGTAGTAGTAGTAGTAGTAGTAGTAGTAGTAATAGTAGTAGTAGTAGTAGCAGTAGTAGTAGTAATAATGGGTTTATTCAATATTATAAACTGATCATTAATCTAAACGACTTGATATTGTGTAAATTATGTTTCTCTCAATGGCTGAGATCATGAGTCAATTTAAGCTAGACCACCATGGAAAACCTGAAAGTACTGGATGGCCATGGTCTAGTGGTTAAGCGTTCGCGCGCGAAATTTATATGTCCTGGGTTCGAATCTCGCGATGCGGGGTCTTGGATGTGCACTGCTGAGGAGTCCCACAATAGAATGAAACGGTGGTCCAGTGATTCCAAGTTTTCCATGGTGAACTAGCTTCAATTGACTCATGTTCTCAATCATTGAAATTACTATAATCTCCACAAAACCCTTCTGATATAAATTATGTTTGTTTTACTTTAAATGGTTGAATATATTCTATAGAGAGCTTATAATGATTATCATCATAGTTCTCTTTCACATTGTAAACAAACAAACAAACAAATATTCATTATTGATCACAGAAGAATTTAAAAAGGCACTTTGTACAATAAAAACATTCAAATCATCTGTCTAAAATTGATTGATTACAAGTTTTGGGTACCCATGGCAATATTCTAACCCTCATACAAATCGAATGTTTTATGGGGAGTATATCTGTTTACTATCTCCTAACATGATGAGTTATTTATTTACTAAAATTACTATTCAAACTATTATTTATTATTTTGTTATGTTTTTATATGCTGACAATTACTTGATACATTATTATGCATCTTATTATATTATGGTGCATACTACTGATGTTGACAGATATAAGTAGTAGTATGTATCATTAATCCAAAGCGTAATGTCTGAAGGTAGATGGTTAAGAAGATCGAATAAAAGAGAACGAGAACAAAGAATGATAAGTGTGAACATGAAGGAACATTGAAGTTTCAGATGATTGATTAACATTTTGTAAATGAAGTATTTACTGTTTGATTCTGTAATCGATATGTTTAAAGACATTCAGTTGTCCCTATTTATGTTCTCATTTACTACACTATATTATTTATAACTGTTTGTTCTTGCAGAGTTAATAGACAAGCTTATTTTGAGTACCTTATCAAGATAGTTCACACACACACAGAGACCGAAAAAATGATACTTTAAAGATCTCAATAAGTTCCTTTACTTATAAATAAACCCTGTAAAAAAAGAAACGTATTAAAAGACTAAATGAACTGGTGTTTTTATGCATTTTTTTCAAATATTATAGAAATATATCATCAATACAGGTTCTAAAGGTATATGAAGACTTCAGAGATTCTATACCAGATAAGAGATATGTTACAGACTAATGTTAAAGTTTATTTATTTTCTATACGATACATTGTAAGGTCAGTTTTAAGCTTTTTGTTGTTGTGTATTTTATTCATTCAACATCATTTCAAAAAATCCTTTCGCATCATAACAATCAACATGTTAAAAAATCTTTTTGAATGAAGTCATAGTTATAAAAGAGTAGTCACTTAAAATTCGGATGTTTTTTGAAAGGACATAAACTGTTTGATACAGTATCTTTTCATAGTAGAATTGTATACAATGATATAAGTCATTTCTATTCATTCTTCATGAAACAATCAAAAATGAGGATTGAAATCATAACCACTAGATTATTCTTTAAATCAACTAGCTAACATTGAATAAAATCATAAATGAAATCGAAAAAGGAGGATGTCATAAAACTACACAGACCCTAAAAAGTGTCAATGTTCTGTTTAATTCATTATGGTTGATTCTTTTTGCTCAAAGTCCATATCACCATATTTGGAAAGCAAATATTTCATTTCATTTCGATTGTATGTACGTCTACTAACTTCTGAGGTTATCAAGTTTAACTTCGGGGATTAACGTAAATTTAATCTACGAATGCATGATCTATTCATTGCATATCTAATACTAGGATACCCAAACTTATTTCTTAAAATATAGTATCTTAACTCAAGTCACCCAAATAACTTCGTACTAATATCTTTTCGTTTATGTTCTTGTTCATAATAATATTTAGAGTTCGTCATTTGATAAAATGTTTTACACAAGACAGGAAACAATACATAGTTAAGATTTTCAAACTCACTCCTATAAGTTTCTGTATTTGATAAGTCAAGTTAAATGACCACTGAATTCCAAAAATTGATTATATGCTTTCCTTATTAAATGATTATCTTAGTAATTTTGATGTTATCAACACTGAATCTTTAGTTAAAGTTCATGATTCACAAACAATGAATAATTACATCGTAATCAATGATGGGGAGAGGATAAAAGGTCTTCTAATAAAGTGATTGGCTAAACGGTAGTAAGTTAGATTTATACTGAGGATATTCTGACACACGTATATAACAAGTTAAAGTTCATCTCTTTTTCCTGATTCACAAGGGCTACGATTCTTAACAGTTGTTACATTCAACCAAAATAACGTTTGAAGGAAAAGGGGAAAATATCAAATCCGTAATGCAACTAATAGTTACTCTACGAAATAAGTAGTTCATATCTGAGTAAATGGTGATGGTCACATTTCGTTCATATCGAAAAGTTTCGTAATAGTCAAAGGATCATGAGGAAGATATAACACATAGGAAAGAGAAATGGAGGACTTTCAACTTGGAGTCCGTAAAACAGATAAAAATTCGGACAAATATTTTATCATGTAGTTAAAAATACGGGAAATTAAGGATTTTTAACTTAAGTATCCATCCTTATTTTATCTATTAAATAAGTATCACAAACTTCGAGTTTTGACAATATTTCTGATGCATGCAGTAATATTATAGGCAAATCAAATAAATAAATCAGATTCTTTAGTCTCAACATGTTCATAAACGAGAGCGTAACTACACTCATCATAAGCCGTACGTTTGGCTTAATCTTAGAGGCACAAAGTACGCGTCAAAAAACAGATATATTCATTAGGAATGATACACTATAGACTCATATACATAATTACAATCACAGGCACTACAAGTAATAATATCTTATAACCGACAGCACAAACTTGGCCATCTTATAGACACATTATCGTACAAAGTTCAGAAAAAACGATGTATTGTCACTCTCTAAGTGTAAGAGAAGTGAATACCTTTAATAAAGCTAGCTCAAAATACATAAGTTTTGTAAATTCACAACTGGAATTACGTAACACTCCATAACAACCAAATTCTCACAATTGTAAATATAACAAATCTTACTCCCATGTGGTCTAATATGTCACCTCATGAATTTAATGTAATCATATATGTCTCCGGAGTATCATGTACTACGGCAACCAGGACATAAAAATAACGTTCTGTGATAAATCCCAATGAACTTACCGACATCGAAAACCTTAAAGTCTAGATCCTTGAACCGAAAGTTCGTTTCGACTATACCTGTTGTCTTCACCCTAGATCTCAATACATCTTGTTCAGTTGGCAAGTAATCAGGAGCTGATATTCTATCAATAGAAGTGAGATAGTAGCCTGCGGAATCATTCAGCTGGTATTCCTTGGAACGTGCGAAACATTTCTGCACACTTGTGTTGTTCCATAGTTTTAGTAAAAGTTTTGATAAATCCTCAGGAAAATCTCCTTCTTCAACTGTAGGTAAATATCCGTTTAGGTGCTTTAATTCATCTGCTTGATCGAAACCATCCGCCGTTATATCCAGTGTCTCCATTGCTTTTAGTATTTTTATCATCGACTGAAGGGTGTTGGCAAAAATGATGGGTTTGTACTCTTTTCTCTCTTCTTCTCTGTAACCTTCACCATGGATTATTTTCATCTGTTTTAAAACTGTCGACTTCCCACACTCACCAGCACCAAGAAGAAGTAACTTGACCTCTTTCATTGATTTTTCTGCATCGTGTCTTATTTGCTTCTCTATAGCCCTACTCTTATCCTGCTGAACTTTAGCTGGTTCACTCCATGCACATCCCATATCAGATATTTGAGCAAATAACCAAACTAAAACCAGTTTGGATATATAGAGTCCACTAGCATTAAATTGAGAAGAAAGTAAACGAATACACGGTATACCGTATATATAGACTATCCAACATGAACTAGCCAATTATTGAGGATGATGATCACTACGACGTTAGTACAAATACTCTAGGTTTCAAACACAAATATATGCTGAACTAATTTTATTTATTACTTTATTTGAAACCTGAATAATACCTAGGTAAAAATCACGTATTTTGAAATTCAACGAACTTATGAAGAGAAAGTGTTTAAATGGGTGACCCCGAACGCCACAAACTTTAAATTTACCTGGGCATGGCTGAACAGGTTAGTATCGAGTTAGTAAATTGCTTATTTCCAGCGAGAAAACGCATTTCAAAAGCAAGAAGTGAAAGGCAAGAAAGGTGGAAGGTATTACAAGAGCATAGGCCTTGGCTTCAAAACTCCAAAAGAGGCTATATTCGGTAATTACATTGACAAGAAGTGTCCCTTCACTGGAAATGTACGTATCCGTGGTCGAATCCTCACGGGTGTTGTGCGTAAAACTAAGATGAACCGGACTATTGTTATTCGCCGTGACTACCTTAAGTACGTGAAAAAGTACAACCGATATGAGAAGCGACATAAGAATATGTCTGTACATATATCTCCTTGCTTCAGGTGAGTTCACGTGTTTTTGTTTACACTTGCAGAGATGTGGATATTGGAGATGTCGTAACTGTTGGTGAGTGTAGACCCCTGAGTAAGACAGTATCATTCAATGTCATCAAAGTTTCAAAAGCCGCTGGTTCAAAGTACAAAAAGGCATTCCAAAAGTTTTAATGTCTGAAATAAACGTATAGGTTTACCGCAGATCTTGGTTCTCTTTTGTTGTTGGTGGAACTTACTAGTTTTTTTAGTTGGAGCCTGCTATTTTCGCTTATTATGTGTATGTGTTATTATAAGTTTCGAGCGAATTGGCCTTCCTGTAAACCAACTAAAAAGCCTACTGTTATGAGAATTTCTTAACAGTAACAATAGTAGCATAACACGTTTCCGTAATGTTCTAGTTGAACGTAGCTCTATTTATATTTCCCCTGGAACTTTTACCTATTTCTAGCATTAGACCTGTATTCGTACTCACATGCAGTTACCAATATAAACGCCAGGTAGTTTTTCTGTGAATCATTAAGTGCTTGCCCGGCTGCATATTAGGTATGTGTGAAGTCAGTTGCAGTGTGACGTAGTACTTCAATGTATATGGTGTAGTGTGGATTGTTGATTTATACCTGATACGGTATTTTAGGCTGTAGCATGATGCACTTTCAGTAAAAATTAAGCATTGGTTCCTATATTCATAGGTTTCTAATACTAATAAACTGGCCGACTTCAATTTGATAAAGAAATAGACGGCTAGGTTGTGTTTCTCGTCTTATTTTATCCAATCTGTCTCGGTATAAAAGCAACTAATTGTAACAGTCAAAGTTGCTAACAGGCTGAAAACTAAGCGTCACGGTTTAGGATTATACACATTTCTCTAAAAGGGTTATAAAAAACCAAAGTAAAAGGTTATTGTCATATGCTGATGTGATATTTTGGCCTAAACACGTTTGGTTTCAGAACATGACACTTCAGGTATCAGCTACACAACTTTTACTTTCCTCCTCGCGTTAGCATTGCAGACTGTCGCCATCACACAAAAGTTACTCTTATGGTCGGACACATCTTGAACAGCCGTTTCCTTTGCTGCTGGACTAACTATTAATTGATGTAATACAAGGTTGGTCTACTAGCCTTGAGATTTGTTAAAGACATCCATATTAGGTGGTACGAATGTATTTAAACCCAACACTTAATTTTTCCTATACTGGGTATATGTCTTACAATCTGGTTGCACGGGGCATATATAAAGTCTTCCCTTAGTACGACGATGCAAAGCCCTGACATTGGTGTTATTCTGTGGAAAGATAATTGGTTATTTCCGTCAGCATAGAATAAAGTCCAACATCAAGTTCTTGGCTAAGTTAGCGACACGTCTTTGCGATCTGCCACTGATAAACTCGTCTATGAATCCACATCTCATTAGAATGAAGTCTCCATGCAATAGAACTGAGAATTCCGACAAAATAAAAATTAACCTCTGAATTTTATATGAAAGTCTAGTCATAAGCTTCCATGACACCGTCTTGTTAAAACAGTTTGTGAATCCTTTCACTATTGTCAAGGAACCTGCAGGCTCAATTTCTGGTTAGACTCCCTGTAACCGAATTAAACACTATAAATGTGCAAATTAGATATTTGTAGTCCGAATAGAGTTCAGCAATGTCCGATGTATCCTGAGAATGTTCAAATACATCCTATTTACGGTCCCCGGGTTCATTACGACCTGTTATTGGAAAGTCAAAATAGGTTAGAGGAAGAATTTAAAGGGGCTGATTGGTAAGCGTGGATATATATTCATATCAGTATAGTCGTTTCTCATGCATATAGCACGATACTGTAGGTTAAAAGTATCTTCTCAGAGTCTAATGTCTTGTTAGAATACGTTTACCTTATTGACTTGTTTCCTTCGACTGCCGTTATTGAAACATAACCCCATTTTTCATACGGATCCTGTCTACTTCCTGAAACTCATCAGTTTGTGCGGATATTCTTGAAAAACATCAACTGAAACTATTTAAATAGGCACTCTATCTAATACAATGTTTCTTTCGTGGGTAGTTTATGCGTTTTGTAAATTGCTATTAAGAAACATTGAGATGTAACGACTTTCTTTGTGAAGGAATAGATGGTATTACAAGCACAATTTCAATAGGAAGAGTCTCGTCGAACTTTTTCACTGCGATATAACTCCTTATTACGGCCGAAGTTCAAAATCAAAACACCCCTATAATTTAAATCCAGTTCGGTAAAGTATGGTCAGAATTTTAGGTAATACCCAGGGATAAAAATTGTACGATAACTAAACTCAAAATAAAAAAACCTCGATAGCGAACTAAGTACTGTAGGTTTGTTGATTTAGTTGTCGTTCGACATATCCTATCGCCGTTAATGCTTTATTACAACATACTGTTCCCGTAAATAAACCGAAAGTACCAGAACAAATACTAAGTCAGTAATAAGAATTTTACTTTCCTAGAGTACATAAATATATAGATGTATGAGCTATATTGAGTCACAATAGTTAAATGTAATTATAGTCAAAATGATTTAGAAAACGCTTCAAACTAATCGGAGTATAACCAAAATTAAGCAACATCATATGCATTAATCACACGATATAAACACGTGTACAATCTTCGAATGATTTTCTTAGATTAATGTTCTCTAAAGTAATTTGCTTCAAAATATATTGAATATTAAATACACCTAAAATGAGGGAAATGTTCGAACAATAAGCTTTTGGTATTGAAATGTATAAACTATATTAAAATACTTTACATCAATTGCAATAGTATATGGGTTTTAACCGTGTAATAACAATGACAATAATCAGCTTACTTTGAAGTAGATCTCTACTAGTCATATATCCCTGAATTCCTAGTCTTACGTTACTTTAGGACATATAGCTGTTACAATTAATGTGTTGTTTGGTGATCGGGTAAGGTAACCATTATAAAACCTAGACTTGGTCACTGGTGGTTCAGCAGTATTATGATAGATATGGCTGATCATGAAACCGGGTTTTACACCTACCCAGAAACTACCAGCTATATTAAACTATTTCAGTTGTAATATATATTCAGTGGATTGAGTGACCCCATACTATAAAAGTTCAACAACAATCTGAATTATATTGATCGATTCAGGACTGAAAAATATTGATTAAACAAACGAGTTTACCTACTTTATTCACTGTGTATGATAAAAAAACTAACACGAATAGGTACTAATCAAGATTATTTACTCTTAATAATTTATTTTAACCAAGATAATAACTCATAAGTAGATACTGAACCATACAAATGGACATTTTTAAAAGTTCCCATATTGTGATTTAGAACAACAACAAGCGAACATTGTTTCCAATTAGATCCTCATTAGGCTTGATATTAGCCGACTGCCCAAATTGGACTCTTAATCCATCGGTTGAAGATACACAGTACACACAAGTGGGTAATCATGGATTCATGTATTCTGTTAGATCATGAGGCTTTACTCTAATATACAGTAATATTTATATGCATATACAAAATTATTAAACTAATCAATACAGTTTACGAGCCAGTTATAAGAGTAGAATAGATCATATAAGTAAAGAGTACAAATTCATAGTGATACGACAGGTGTACTAGGGCTTGAATGGGAAATAGATCAATGACTTTAGAAATATAGACACTGAAATAGCATTCATAAAAATTATAGGATTATGTAATAAGTGTTCACATAATTGAACAATGAAGCGTACATTTGGAAAAAATGATATGGATGGAATGAAGAGAAATAAACGAACAAAAGGTGCGAAAAATAATTAGCAAGATCGTTTATTAAGGCAAAGGTGTTACAAAGTCCTTATTGTTATGTCCCGATAAGCATAATGAATGGTAACTTTTTGGGATCCATTTGTGGACCAATACTATGTGTATATTTTCATAATTGTTAAATAACTAAACTGTTCATATTCATGTCCCTCTTATTATAAGCTCTATTTTGGCCTATGAATTATTATAAGACTTACCATTCTTGAATTATGCCGTCTATTACCTACTACCTCCCTCATTCACATCCACATTTGGCTAATTCTTGTACAAATGTTGTTTCATACCTTATTGGTACGATGTGGTCTGCTTGATTGGTACATAAACCCAGTATACTTGAAATAAATGATTCATGCCGCAGAGATTGGTGTCCTGGACTTAACTGGTTGGGCTAGGCAGGAAGCAGGACCGATAATACTCTAGACTGCTCGTATGGGTTTTAGGCGTCATTGGTCCAACCGATAATTCACTGCTCTCTAACTGGCGGCATCGTTGTTATATATTAGCACGGTGCACGGGTCACAAGTTATATCACTTATGAATACAAATACTATGAATTTGTACTATTTACTTATGTGATCTATTCTACTGCTATCACTGACTCATCAACTGCCTTGATTAATTTAATAATTTCGTATATGCATATAAATATTACTGTATATTAGAGTAAAGCCTGATGATCTAACAGAATACATGAATCCATGATTACTCACTTGTGTGTACCATGTATCTTCAACCAGTGGATTAAGAATCCGATTTGGGCAGCCGGGTAGTATCACTAGTTATCACCACAAAATATGACTCAGGAGTACATGAACATATACTGGGCAAATGAACCAAATATCTATACTAAGGTTTACAAGTATATGAAGCTGTTCATTTCTCCTAATACTTCGCCTTAGTTGACTAATTCAAGAGGAACAGAAATCAAAATAAAACTTTTTGACATATATACAATAATGGGGAAAAATTTGTTGTTCTTTTTGAATTTTATTTTACAAATTAAAATGTTGAAAGACTAAAGATTTTGCAAGTTTGCTTCATGAAAGACTGTGGTTTGAAAAACAATGAACAAAGTTTGGTCAAGATCTGTTTTTTCACGTTATTCGTCACAATCACTAGGTTCTGAAGTTCCCATAATCCCTTTCGCTAGACGCCAAACTGTCGAAAGTGGACCAGGATATTGCGTTGAAACCATAAATCCAGCATTGGTCACTGTAGTTTCACACGACTCTGGTTCTACTGGTGAGGTCACAGAAACTAGTTCCCAACAATCTAAACCAACAGACGAGTCGTGTTCTTCGAGTTTATTGGATGACTGAACATAGTCGGAACTACTTGCCCTACATAAAGCAAACTTATTCACTTGTTTGTCACATGAAGTTAAACTATCATCGTTTGATAAGCCAAACATTTCATCCACTTCTTCCCCTTTCTCTACAAAACACGGTGAACTAAATGAAACTGTAGGATGACTCATTAAGGATAATGATGGAATCTTTCCAAAAAGGCCATCTAGTTTTATATTGTAACATTCGTCAAAGTACCTAAAAATCAAAGAAAACCAATTAATAGACAAACCAAGAGGTATTTGAACAATCTGAAAAGTAAAAAAATCGGAACATTACGTATTAAATGTATCCTGAAATGTTTTAGTAACATGAAAGTTTACTAACATTATTCAACTACTTAGTTTCAAGATATTTATGGTGCAAGCAATATAAAACAAATAAATAAAACCATCCATCACACACTAATTACTTCACAGATTAAGACACTATGAGTAAGAACGCTGTCTATTAACATAGGTGAAACATATCTGGTAAATAATTCCACTTATCACATATATAAAAACTTTTAATGTTCCAACTGTCACTTCTACAATGCATGGATTACGGTTAGTTAGTCAGTCAGTCAGTAACAACGTAGAACTTCGTACGTACGTACGTACATCAGTTCCAGTTGCCACACCACATTAGCACAGAGATGCAGTGGTCGATTCAAATCCCGTAGTGGTAAAGGTAATAAGAGTATAAGCAGTAATCGGGAAGATTAGTGTTTGGAGATGTTACTTAAAGAGTTAAATACAGTAAAATAAATTTGGGAAGAGAAAGAAAAAAGACAAGGAGGAATAAGATCAAAATTTGGGAAAATATAAAGAGTGTATGCACCTGCGCCATTGCAAACGATCTTGAGCCATGTCATTCAGGGTCTCTAACTATCGGTTGCTATCATCTCGCGGTCCCCAACCAGGTGGTCTACACCTACCAATATGACTCAGTTCACTTGTCAGTGACTTCATGAACTTGTGCCATGTTTTGGTCTGGCCGCCCCTAGCTTTCTTCCAACCTATTCCTATACCACTGAACATCGCACATCGAGGCAGTCGGTCGTTGGGCATACGTAACACGTGTCCCAGCCATCTCAACTGATAAAGTTTCACTACTTCATCAATTGATTTGCCATCCTTACCTAGTACCCGTTTCCTAACAACTGCATTACTTACTCGATGGTCCCAGGATATACGAGCAACATTTCGAAGACGCCTATGATCAAATACTAGTAACCTACGAATATCCTCTACCCTTACCGGCCATGTTTCACTGCCATAAAGTAGGACGGAACGAACTGCTGCGTAATAAACCCGTCCTTTGATTGATAGATGGATATCTCGCGTACGCCATAAATGACGCAAGTTGGTAAAAGCTAGTCGAGCCTTCTGTATCCGTGTTGAGATTTCGTCACACACCAGACCACAAGGGCTGATGAGACTTCCAAGACAAGTGAAGTGATCGACGCGCTCAATTACTTCACTTCGGGTGTCAATGCAACCCAATCCTGAAGCAATATTTTGCATTTCGAGGTAGAGAATCGCATCCCGAACATGCTTGCATTGTTGCTTAGAGTGGTTAGAAGACTCTGCATTTTGTCAGCGTCTTCGCCAAATAAAACTGTCATTAGCATATTCTAAGTCAACAAGTGAACCTCTTGGTAGAAGTTCAACCCCTGTAAATTTAGATGAGGAAAGTGTTATCTCTAAAAGTACGTTTAGACAGGAAGTTATCACTAAACAATTATTAAAAAGAATGCACACATCCTACCAGATCGTTGGTCAACTGCGACATAGTGATTGGAGAATAAAAGTTATACGAGGATATTTAGTATGTGGCACCGTTGTGACCAAACACTCAAGTAGGGACAACCAATTTATCATTTCATACGTCTATCGACATAAGTAGCATACACCAAAGTACCAACTAAGTAGTCAGTGTATTCATTCATAGCTGTACGACAGATCGTAAAATTTAGGTTTAAATACTAAAGATTGAAACCGATAAATGAACGGACTACGGTGCATTAATAATATTTTAATAGTCTACTACTATTTCACCTTACACTAGCTAGGTTGCAGTGCTCTCTCTAGTTTCACTACCGAGAACATTATTTATCCCATAATTTTGGAGAGGTTTTGTTGAATCTAACTACGTTATTAAGTATGTATTATGCAAGATTAACACACATAAACCTAAGGGGCCTCCAAAAAATGTTGACGGTGTTCAATAATGTTTATTAAACACTAATTAATGTACGAGCTTACAATCTCGTTTGTCAGATTTATAACTAAACTAGCCGACAATAGGTACAGTAGCAATGATCTGTAAACCTACTAATTTAACGATAAAATTAGTTGAAAATTGTTTATACATAGAGTTTCGGTACAAAAATATTACCTAGTAGACTTATTATTGTGACTGACCAGATGCCCAAGGCAATATAATCCAAATAATGGATTGTAAAATGTGTTCCGTCCAGGAATTACGTTTATCCCAAGTTGTTCTAATCCATGTTTTATATCAATCCCTCGACATTGGCATAACAGGTGAACAGCATGAATGACTGCGAAATACACGCGACCCATATCATCCCTCTGAGGTAATGCAGACAAAAAAGAACCCACCAAATGCAAATTCCGGCGAATGGAGACTGGCAACCAAACATCTAATAAGATAGTTGAAACCCTTATTGCTACTGAGCAATATGTTAAAGCCGTATGACTGGATGGGGTGGGTTCAGGGCCTACAGTAAAGGTAATAAAAAGTGAAGACAGTTTAAACTTTAAAGAGATGGCTGGAGGTTTATAGGAAATTTAGGAACACATGTTATCCACATCAATCTATCACCGATCTACAAAAATATGAAGTTACAAAATAGCTAGAGTAGTTGAGTAAAGTGATAAAAGAGTACAATTGTACACAATTAAAACAGTATACCAGTTGAACAGTTCACCTATGGTTCAGAAGTTTTTCATCTCAAAATAGAACTGGTATGAAGCGTGGAGATTCCACATTGAGAATAATAAGAGTGGTACAACAATATATAATACAAAAAACATTACAAGGGTAAATATCATCTTGAATTATGCATCTCGAATCTACAGTGAATGTATAACAGCTTTGTATGACAATGATCATGTTACTCATCAACAAATATGCATCAATCGAAACTTCAGAGCGACACTAACCTGCAAAAATGTTCTCTTTATCGATATGTAGAGGTGAACAAACAAACCTATCCGGAGATATACCATCAGTCTGAAAATGAAATGAACATAAATTTAGTACTGACATGCATGATGTAGCTAACATCTGAGTGAATGTTTTTAAGACTAATAAATTATCATAAGTAAAATGATAACATACTGTCAAACTTTAATTGCATTCAGTAATATCATCTTATAACATCATATAGTGTTAAGTCGCCTTAACAGAACAAAATTTGACAAATAATTATATGTAAGGAGTGGTAAACTAGATGCCAACAGGATTCGACCTGCACTAAGAAGAACCTAACCTAGCTCCTAGGATTCCTGATGACAACCACCATCTTATCTCAAAATGGTGCAAGCGATGTCGAGTCACTTAGATTCGTGGCCACATTGTAACTTGGGCGACATGATCCAATCTGCACTAAGAAGAACCTCACACACATGACACTGATCACCACCCAGCGGTCAATCAAATGTAAAAACTAGACGTGCTTTGTGGAGTTCCTCCTTTTCTGTCAATACTTATTTATCCACAATATATTACTAGTCAACAGGGAAATGTCCATGAACCTAGTTTAGAGTGGAATTTCGCGAGGGCCAGTGACACTAACCGGATTTTCAAACCAAACGAGATTAAAATTGAATTTGAACCCGTGACTAAGTAAATGGAAACAGCAGTAAACTCGCTAAGCTAGTGAACCTATGTAGATCCTTATTCAAGAGTCAGACTGTAGTTCATGCAAATGTAATGACATTAGACACTGTCCTGTACAAACATATTGAACTATAGCGTGTTTCGCTATCTATGAAAACAACGTAACTAAACTCACCGACAGGTCGGTCACGAAATAAACTCCAAGCAACTCCTCAAAATAAGTATCATGTACGTGCTTGATCTGCCTGTTTACTATATCAAGATCAGCTACCAATAACTTTTTTCTCTGTGCAACTGTGATAAAATGCCGTACCAAATTAGCTTGCTGCTTCAGAAGATGCTGGGACGCGGTATGACATCGTGTCATTGCTTGCCGAACACGTTGTAGCTTTTTGCGTTCTGAAATAACGCACAGTATAATAAGTACGACTTACTCTCTACGTTCATTTTAGTAAGAAACTCGATCGTATGTTCCAAAGAAGAAATCTGAGCATTCAACTCTTCAACTCTACCCTGCTTTAATACAAAAATATGCACAACGAGATCTTACAAAAGTGTGAAATACAGATTTGAACAGTATGGGTTCGTATACTTTAATCCTAATCCGCAAATAATTAAATCTGTAAACCTACTTTCTATTTAAGTCATTAACAGATTTACGGACTGTTACAATCCGATCAGAATTTTGAGGAAAGCTGTAAAGAATCTATTTCAAAAGTTATTCTTACCTAAGTTTTCCGGATTTCTTCGAGAATATGGAATCCTTCCTAACACAATCACAGCAGACAAACGTTTCTTTAAATGATTCACATGTACGACACTGGAGATTTAAATGGAACTGAGGGCCACGGTCAAACGGAACATTGGCGCAGGGTGACTCTAATATCTGGAAATCAGCAAGAGTGACGTCGGCAACTGAGTCGTCAAGCATGTATTAGATTCGACCAGTTGTCGATTAAAAAGTAAATCGATAAAAAAGCCGATCGATTGCTATGACTTTAAAAACATGTAACTCTCAGTCATCAAATAATTTGCTGACAACTTGTAGGTGTGTTATAATCATGCAAATAAGAAAACATGCGTAAGCCTCGGCAATGGTGGTCCACTCGACTAACAATTGTTAAAATCTCTCTTCACAAGAGATCTGGGAAATAGAAGCTTAAAGTGAGATGACGTCTGGTGTTTTAGGAAGTATTGTTAGTGAACTTACTAGTGCAACTTCAATTAACAATGCACAAATCCTAGCCTTTGCAAACCATAAATCAGAACCCAGAATGAGTAAAGTATGATTTCAAATGCGTAGCAAACATCTTTTGGAAGTTCGAAGACCAAACCTTCAAATGGTTGTGGATGGATTACAAAAAGCTTTCGCTTTATGGGATTCCGTGTCTAGTAGCAGTGGATCACCAATACTTCCAGGCAGGAACCTAGATATATTAACGACAGTAGAGGCGAAAATAGGTAAATCGTGGTAAGATGTTATTCGTAGCCTTTAAGAATAGGTCAAGTTTCTCTCAAAGGACTCCTGAAAAGTCGCTTGGACTAGCTCAGCCGGCGGCGAATCCCAGCATTTTACAACTCTTAAGGAGTAGAAGTTGTGTCTACATTTCGTTCTGCTATGTTGTGTCTCAAATTCCTGGGTGTTACCCTCTAGGTTTGTGTTCAATATAAACTAAAGTAGGTGTTTAAGAGGATGCACAGAAGTGTTAAGGACGCTGTAAGCCAGAAGAAGGTAACCTATAAGACGCCTATACCGTAATGGGTAAAAGTTAAGTGATTGGAGGCGTTCTCCATATGGTTAGAATTAGATTCCCTGAGCTGATTTCGTGGTTCGCCGTTGGATACGCTCCAGAGTGTCCTTGTCATTTCGGAGTAAGAAAGGAGATACTAAGTTTCAGTACTGTAAATGAGGACGAATAAAGCTGTTGAACATTATGTGAAAACTTCTTCCGTCAAACCGGACAAAAACTCCCCTTCAATGTTACCAGTGAAAGGTCTGTAGTGGCATTGGACCATAACCACACAATCCTCAAAGCTGAATACGAGATTACTCAGAAAATAGATATTCAATATTTAACGCGAAGAAATACCTAACGATGGAGAAGGCGACTAATGAATTGAATAGACTAGAGTTGATCGAACGGCATGGCTCGGCCATGCAGGCGTGGTCTCTGCTGAATGTTACCTTATATCTTCTTTTCATATTAAATATATTGTTCTTTCTCTAGCCTAACCTTGTTCTACATCATGTATTGGTAATTGATACGATACAGTGAGTTGGTGTAGTCGATGGTGTGGCTTCCACGTAAGATCTTATAGATTAGGCAGTCATATCATGACAAATCTACAAATTTAGGATTAGGTCTATTATTAGAGCAGTACTAATATCATAGTAGACCATAAGTTCTACAGGTCTACTCGAAAGACACTTTTGTCACAGTTGGTGTAAGACTTCAAACCGTAGGGCACCAGGACTCCTAAATCTCTTCCAACTTGGGATACTTCCAGAGAGGATTTTCTTAGGTTGTAACTGTAGTCTGCAAAATGTTGCAGATGGACTACTTTACACTTTGAAGTGTTAAAGGTAAGTCCGTTATTGTCTGCCCAACTGCGAAGTCGAGTCAGATCATCCTGAAGTGTCAGTATATCGTTGCGTATCTCTCCCCAAAGTTTCACATCATCAGCAAGAAGTAATAAGTCATTTGATACCTGTAGTGAAAAATTGTTTATATAAATCAAGAAGAGAAGAGGTCCTAGTACTGAGTCCTGAGGGACACCACTAGGACATTCCATAGCCTGAGATAAAGTGAAATTAATCCTAACCTTGAAGTGTCGATTTTTTTGGTATGAAGTAAGCCAATCGATTAGAGCTGGTTTGATACCTAGTCGTTTGAGCTTATTGATAAGACACAAGTGGTTAACTTTAGCAAAAGCTTTTGAGAAATCAAGGTAAATGATATCAACCTTTCCCTTGCGATCGAGGATGCTTGTCCATCTATCCATCACAGTCAGCAGGTTGGTTATACAAGAGTGACCCCTCATGAAACCATGCTGTTGGAGTGAGAAGTTTAAGGACAGTAAATAGTCATGTACACCATCGCATATCTGGGACTCCAGAATTTTTGAAGGTATAGAGAGAAGGGTCACCGGATGGCAGCTTGAAGTTTCCTTTGAAAATTGGTGTGATGTGAACCAGCTTCTAAATTTCCGGTTTACCTCGGCTTAGCGAGTGTGAGAACATCACGCTAAGCAGTAGTGCCAGGATTGAAGCTGCTTCCCTCAGTATAGCAGAATGAACCACATCCGGTCTAGGAGAAGTATTTTTCTTAAGTGCAGCAGATTTCGGTACACCAGGATAGCGCTCGGGTTCGCTTCGGAAAGTCCTGTACAGTTTTAGATGAAGCTTCCATCAATATAGTTGATGTGTGTCCGTTGAAATGTCTGAGAGTATTGTTCGGTCAAAAGGTTAGCGGCATCATCGTTAGGACCTAGCAGTTGGGAATCTCCAGTATTGGCTTGTCGAAGAGAGGCTGGATAACGGAATGAATTTTTCGGATCAGAGACAGATTTATCGATTTGCTCTATCTGGTACTGAAGCCTATCTTCTCTTATAGCCTTCGTGCATATTTTCCTTATATGTTTGTGTTGCCTGTACGCGCCGTTGTTATAAGTTCGTTTGTATTCCGCCTAACAGTGCCTTTCGCGGCTTAGCAGACGAAGAGTGGAATACTTGATGACTGTATGTTCTTTGTAGATTTTGGAGACATAAGAGTGTTTGCGGTAAAAATAAATACCAATGAGCATCCACATCAAGTTGAGTGTGAACATACCAATCCACCTGCTGTAAATAGTTCTGTAAAGCTGACACATTCAACCGTTTGAAATTCCACCGCCTGTTGTCGGTAGGATATCTTAGTCCAGTTTTGCTGACAAAACTGAAGGCTATAACGGCGTGATCGCTTTTTTCCAGGAGGCCAGGATTGAGAGGTTGTTAACTAGGAATTCTTCGTTTGTAAATACCCAGTATAAGCGCGACGGTATCTGACTGTTTCTCCAACGAGTTGACGAATTCTTATTTTCGAATAGTCACAGATCCTCAATGAGGCTGAAGAACAGAGTTTCAGTTGAGTTTTCACCTCCAATATACGTATGTTGACTTTAGGAAGATTGAAGTACCCTAGAATCTGTGTTTTCCGGCACACCTTGCACAATGATATTTCTTCCGCGGAAAAACGTCTCGCGAGATTTCATTAAGGATATTCTAGATGTGATCGCGCTCAGAATACAGTATGTCAGGCAGTATTTTTACGTTCCTATCTTCCCACCTTCATACTTGCTGAAAATAGTTTAGATGTCTCAGTCGTATTCTAGTAAGCTTCTGTGTGTATCCAATTTTCTCCTAGATAGAGAAAATGAAGGTTTAGATACTACGTTTCCATGTACTTTGTGTAAATGATCTACCAACCGTTCTAAATCATCTCTAATACTTTTGATAATACCGTTAAAATATGGAGACATATAAATTGTGTCCTGCAAGGTACGGCTGCAGTGTAATTCACTTAGCGATTGGAGGAATGGGTAGTCACTAAGAATAAATTCCGGTACAGCTTTGATAATCAAAATCAATCATTGACACTGTTTACATGACTACTCAGTCAATGTAATGGCGTCACGTATGCAAATTAGTTATAGAAATTAGGAAATCCGATTGATGATGACTTTAGAACTAAACTTAACTGCTAACAGCGGATTCCAAAGATTTCCGAGTCTTATGGGCTATTCACAAGTCGTTTCGTCTTCGAGATCTAGGGATGTTTGAGGCGTTATACCCGTTGCTTGCAGCAAGGCATTCGGTATGTGCGATTCAAGCATAGAGTCTTTGTTTACAAAATAAAGCCGATATCTCGGAACGAACTCAACTGCATTGGGTCAGAATGGTGATATATCTCTCAGGGCTCCCATATGAGGATGTATTGAGGCTTCCTAAGCTTTTCTCGTTATCATACTGTAAGATCCGTTTTGAATGTTTTGCGTGTGAAAATCCCTCCATGTATATTGTTGGTCTTTTCGATTCCGTTTGAGTGGTAAATATTTGTACTTTATTATAGTTTTTATTTTTCTTACGCCTTCACCAAGTCTCTGTGTTTTATCCTGAACTGCATTTATGTTGTTTTACTTGATACATAGTCTTGGTGGCAACTATGTTCGCTTGTTCCTCATTTTGGTCGCGTTGCTTTTATTGACTTGAATTGTGCATTTTCGTTTGTGAATTGAGGCACTTTTCCAGAATTGGAAACACTCTGTGTTATGAGGCAACTAAATAGTATCTTTTGAATGAATCTGTTAGTGGTCTAGCCAGACAGGATAGAAAAACATTTATTTGTTGTGATTGGTAATTTTCTCAAATCCTTTATCAACTTCCTCACTAATTGTAAGTTGGATTTGAATAATTGAACAATTATTGGTTGGATAGATGGGTGGTCATATTTATTTAGGTAACGATGTACATTTAAATTTATGATGAATTATAGAACCGTCATTTTACCCAATTACTTTGGCAAGGGCGCGTATCTAACCCACCGAAACAGCTATTCTTTAGTCCAAACCTAAGTTTGGATCATGCACATACCGCATATAAAACTGGTTTACCGTGTACTCTACCATGATTTTGGTATCGTCATGTCTGCCCTTTTCACTCGGACTTGAACTAATCATTTGATAGAATATTCTTTGGAAGTTCAAAATACGAGATCAGATCGTTTACGTTTAGAATTTCGTTTTTCACATCCAGTGGTGGATTGGCGTCCACGCATCCAAAATGAGCACTTGTAAGTAGGTTCACAAAGAGGTTGTGTTTTTACAGTGTAAGAGCCCGCGAGAATAATTACAAACCGCTTCACCTCAAATCTGTACTTCTGGAGACCGAGAGTAGTAGGCCTAGTGGTTGACTAGTTAATAAAAAGTCATGTCTTTGGGATGCCTTTTGAAACTTTTAAGCTCACTCGCCATTTCTCATAAGTTCTCACGACCTAATTGAATGGAAAACAAAAGATACGTCAGATCGAAAAACATTTCTTATTGTGCCACATATCGTCGACAAGTCACTTCTTAGTCTATGGTAAGATAGTGTGAACAGGCCTCATTTTCCAATTCATTCAATGTTTGGTTGGACATGCAACTTACTCCTGCATGGATGACGTTTATTGTGAGCATTTCGTGCCTATAGGTAACCTTTGTTCTTTTGATAGGAGAAACCAGACTAGTAGTGAATGTCTTTATTTAGGTCGTTAGGCATTCATAATGGAGTG